GTCAAAGCTCGTTGCTGTCTGACCATTTCTTGATCACGTTTGATCTCGCTTTGGAGGACTTTCCTGTCCCGCAAGATAAAACCATAATGAAAAGAACCTTAAATGATAAATCTATCACAAGGTTCAAAGAACTAATACAGCCTATGTTGAATACTGCTGCAGGTGAACCTGTTCACAGCAGCTGCAGTCCCTCAGTCATTGACCAAACGGTGGGCAACACTATGGAGTCTTTAAAATCTGCATTAAATGCAGCAGCTCCTTTAAAACAGAAAACCATTAGGATTAGATCATCGTCGCCCTGGTACAGTGTTCAACTCCACACTTTAAAACAGGACGTCAGTAAATTGGAGAGGCTATATCGCCACTCCCACTCGGAGCCTGTCCACAGGGAGTGGAAAGCAGGTCTCCGAAACTACAAGAAGGCCCTTCGCGGGGCTCGAACTCAATACTATTCAACTTTAATAGAAGCGAATAAAAACAACAGTAGATTTTTGTTTGGCACCGTCGCTAAACTCACAAACTGCCATAGCGCAATCGAGCCTAAAATTCCAAGCTCACTGAGCAGTGTCGACTTTCTCCACTTCTTTAATAATAAAATTACATCCATCCGTGACAAGCTGGAGGAGGTTGCTCCTGCTGTTGGTAGTGGACAGGCTGAAGCGGCATACGTGACTTCCCACTTAGACTCTTCAGTGGGCCTCGATAAATTCATGGCTGTGAGCCAAGCAGAGGTGATCTCTGTGGTCACATCCTCAAAAGCCTCAACTTGCATGTTAGACGCAGTCCCGACATGGCTCTTCAAAGACATACTTCCTTTGATAATTGAGCCTATCGTAAATATAATAAACGCATCCATACAATGTGGCTATGTCCCACAAGCTTTTAAAACCGCGGTAATCAAACCCCTTCTGAAGAAAACAAACCTGGACCCAGAAATACTTACAAACCAGACCGATCTCAAACCTCACTTTTATATCTAAAATCCTGGAAAAACTTATAGCTGAGCAGCTCCGCTGCCACCTGCAGGAAAATAATATGTTTGAAGTCTTTCAATCAGGATTCAGAGCTCATCATAGCACTTAAACGGCACTAGTCAAAGTCACAAATGACTTACTACTAGCTGCCGATAATGGACAAGTGTCAGTGCTGGTCCTACTGGACCTTAGTGCTGCATTTGACACAATAGACCACAGCATTCTACTGCAGAGGCTAGAATGTGATATAGGTCTTAGAGGAACAGCCCTTGGCTGGTTTAAATCCTATTTATCAGATCGATATCACTTCGTCAATGTGAATCAGGACTCGTCGCCTTATTCTGGAGTGGAATTCGGTGTGCCGCAGGGTTTGGTACTCGGACCGATTCTTTTTACTCTCTACATGCTGCCACTGGGAAACATTATTAAAAAGCATGGAATTAATTTCCACTGCTATGCAGATGACACACAGCTTTATCTGTCGATGAAGCCAAATCAGACAGATCAGCTGGAAAAGCTCAGTGCCTGCATAAAGGACCTTAAAATGTGGATGACTCTTAACTTCCTACTTCTCAACCCGGAGAAGACAGAAGTGATCCTACTCGGTCCGAAGCGCCTGCGTGACTCCCTCACTAACCAGATGGTTACTCTCGATAATGTCAGTATAATACCCAGTAACACTGTGAGGAATCTTGGAGTCATTTTTGACCAAGAACTCTCCTTCAAGGCTTATATAAGCCAAGCAACTAAAACGGCGTACTTCCACTTACGGAACATCGCTAAAATTAGGAATTTCCTTCCTAAAAGTGACGCGGAAAAACTCATTCACGCGTTTGTCACCTCAAGGCTCGACTACTGTAACGCTTTACTGGCAGCGTGCCCTAAAGCCTCTTTGAAGAGCTTCCAGCTCGTTCAGAATACAGCAGCTAGGATCTTAACAGGTACCAAAAGGAGGGAGCACATAACTCCGGTGTTAAAATCACTCCACTGGCTCCCTGTGGAGTACAGAATAAAGTTTAAAATCCTTCTCTTAACATATAAAGCCATAAATGGCTTGGCTCCTTCTTATCTCCAAGACACGTTAGTGTCGTATCAACCAGGTCGAGCGTTGCGCTCACAAAACGCCAGACGTCTGGTGGTCCCTAAGGTCTCAAAGGTCACTGTTGGTGGCAGAGCATTTAGCTCCAAGCTCCTTTACTGTGGAATCAGCTTCCCATTTATGTTAAGGAAGCAGATACGGTCTCCACATTCAAGGCCAGGCTTAAAGCACTTTACTTTAATTTAGCATATAATTAGGTAATATATAATATGTAGTGTATATATTATATATATATGCTGTATTATGTTATATATTATGTTATATATTATTCAATAATGTATTGTGTTATGTTGTATATTATGTTATATATTATGCTGTATGTTATTCTTTATTCAAGGCTAGGTTTAAAACAGTCCTCTTTAGTTTAGCATATGGCTACCTTCCGTAAGACTCGGAGAAGGTTAAACTCCTCAGAGTGTTAGTCAAGCTGCATAGGGAGTCAGTTTGCTGGGAGAAGTATGGTAACTTGAGCACTATCCTCTCCTCCTTCCTACTTTATCTGTTTAGCATTTTTAGGATTCTGACTGTAGTTTGTTCATTGCTATTCACCCGTTGTCCCATTGTCTGTTTCATGGTACGATGACGGGATCTCTGAGCCTGGCCTCTTCCATCTACACCTGCGGACTGCCCCGCCCGACCCGCCTGGGAGTGCTTCGGTCCTGCACCGGACCTGTCCACGTTCAGCGGCCACTGGTCCACGTCCTGTAGCTAGCTTAGGTCCTAGATCATTAGCCTGTCCATCCGGAGGAGCGGATCCCTTTCTCATATGGGTCTCCCTCCCTGTGGGTTTCCCTAGTTCTCCTCCAAGGTTTCTCACGTTTTCCCACTGGGTTTTTTTAAGAGTTTTTCCTTGTCGATGCAGGAGGGTCTTGTTGGACAGTTAGTGTCCAACAGAAAGAATTGGTGATGATCAGGACACTTTAGCATTCTACAACATGTATGGACATTTTCTTCTGTGTGTGCTTTATATTCTTCATGTGTTTTAACTGATGATTCTCTGACCTGTGTTGGTGATTTCAATGGTTTTGTTAAGTCCTCTGAGATGACTTCTGTTGTGACCTAGGGCTATACAAGAATAAATTGTATTGTATTGTATTGTATTGTATTCTGTCTGAATTTAAGACACAATCCCAGACTTTGACATCTTCTTAAAAAGTATCTATCTATCTGTCTATCTACATGTATCTATGTTATTCATTGATTTGTCTGGTGTTAAATGTATGTGTATATTTCTAAATGTATACATAACTGGCCAAATAAAGGTCAGTCTTTATAAGCTGACCTTTGTTCATCACCTAAATACAGTGAACGACTTCCCTGAGTTCATCACTACATAAAAAAGTCCAACACATTGATGATAAAATATCTATTTTTATTCTAACATTTACCTTCATGCCACAGTCTGTTCTCATCCTTTGCTTTGAATTACAAATTTCTGAAACCACTGTCAATAAATTCAGACATTTTACTGTATAAAGTCAACATTAAACTCAAAAACAGCGACTGGAGAAATGAGCGGTCAGACTTCCAAAATGCTTTATGCACAAATTACACTGGGATAATATCTTCTTTTCTCAGTAGAATAAAAAGATGTTTGAATAACATTTATACACCAAGACGGGATCTCAAACACAATACACTGGAGCTGTGGGAATACAATCCAGTCAGGAACATTCAAGATGTCAATAAACGACAAAACAAAGAAAGAGGAGAGAGCGCCGCCATCTGGACATGCACAAAAATGCATGGAACTAATGTGAGCTAATGGCATGTAGAAAAATACAAACTTAAAATAGGACAATGGAGTAATAATTTATATTCAGCACCACACCTCGGCATCCCCAAACATACATCTTATATACACAAAAAGTGTCTCAGGGTCTAATTTTCATCATGGATAAAGTTTTCTATAAAATCCACCCTAACCACGTGTCATTCATAATCATATAAATAATAGTTCATGCAGTCTGTACACCTGCCGTGTCCAGAATCACCACAAGAGGGAGCTGTAACAAAGAAGCGATCGTAAATAGTTTCCAACCAGAATGTTTCACAGAATGTGGAATTTCACATGTTAGACTGAACAAAGGGAACAAGGATAATAATATGCTTTGTACATTTCTCATAGATTGTGGACACAGCATTTAAACTCGTGTGTAGTAAAAGGAGACAGGCGAAAGAGACTCAAATGATCAACAGAAGAATGATCTTGATATATTTGATACACTGATATAATACAATATTTCTAAACAATAGAACAATATTGTAGCAAATGCCAACCTAAAGATGCTTGCACATGAAGGCACATAATGTTAAGTCCACAAATCAGAAAGATTCCCACTTAGGAATGTTCTATCATGAAATATACAGGATGACCAAACGAGACTAAAAACAATGTTCAGGAGAAACTAAAAGAACATATGTCCAAGTTTGTGTGCTATCTTACATGAAAACAAAATACACAACCACAGTCCAGCATGAGTCATCACGGCTTTGAAAAATAGTCACATTTTCTCACTGGATACAAAGTCCGCATCCTGTTTGAGTTCATTTATCTATGTACAAGTACAAGACCGATGTAGTCAGTGTGCTCTGTAAAATCTCCATCCGCAAGAGGAAAGTCATTTGCTTTCGAGGATATTGTCCATTGGTTAAAAAAAGACGTTTCCAAATACCCAGTGGTGGATAAGGTCAGGTTGCCATGTCTTTGCATATAAGCCCCCCAGCAGGAGCCTATAGGAGTAGTTGAAATGTCGTCATAAAGATGGTAGTTTTATTATCTGCGCGTGAAGCAGTCTTGACCCCAGGAGCCGAATGCATTGAGAAGGATTGGACAAAACAGATACAAGTTTGCATAAAGGTGTGGATCCAGTATTGTGCTTGGGCGCGCAGATGGACGGACCAAAAAGTGATGAGGCTTGGGATTTTTAGACCTCATCTTCGGCGTCTTCCTCCAGCGTCTCCTCGAACACGCTCTCAGGCAGTCGGAAGCACTCCTCAAAGAAATTGATGAGGGACTGGCTCAGGTGCTGCCGCGTGGCCTCACTGCGGATGAAGTGGCCCTCGTCTGGGTAAATCTGAGAGAGAAAAGCAAACATTGAAATTGATTGTGAATTTTTGGTGAGGCTTAAACAGATTTAAAGCTATAAAGGAGGATTTTCTACTTCCGGGTGGATCATCAAGACCAAGGCCAAAGGTAAGAAAAGCAATGAGAATTCTTTGTTTTATATTTATATATTATGCCCATAATATGCTTTATATCATTTTAGTAAAAAATCTGCCATTGCTTGCACATGTACATTAATGTCGATAAGAAAACAGTCTTCAAAATGATGTACAGCTTGTGGGGATTGATGACCAAAATAAATGTGCTTTGACCAGATGAACTCTGAAAAAAGTATTTTTGGATAGAAAATTGAAAAAGACAAGGCATAACTAAACAGGGACAGTGTGACTGTTTGCAGATGGACTCACCTGTAAAGTGTAGTTGGCCTTTGCATTTATGAGCCGTGCGATGAATTTTGCCGTGTGTTGAAAATGCACTTTTTCTGTAAGACAAGAGCCAATGTTACACACAAAACTACTACAAACGGGGGACTGCGACTTTGTAAAGTGTGTTTACGGACTTAAAGGCACCAAAGGGACCCAGCCAGAGGAGCTAGGGGTCATGTGAGTTAGTTAGGAAACAACATCACTGCATATTGTAAGAGATTCATCTTCTAGAAAGATTCTGACTGTATACAATACATTACTTGTACCAATACCATTCACCAAGGTTAACCTTTTACTTCAGACTGAAGGAGTAAGGATGCTTCAGAATGAAGGAGTAAGGATACTTCAGACTGAAGGAGTAAGGATACTTCAGACTGAAGGAGTAAGGATACTTCAGACTGAAGGGGTAAGGATACTTCAGACTGAAGGAGTAAGGATACTTCAGACTGATGGTAAGGTAAGGTAAAGGTCAGTTTATTACTCCTCTAATGGGATTTGATCCTCTGCATTTGACCCATGCTGGTGCCACTGAGGCTCAAAGTTGCTCCATAGTGACTGTAGATAGGGTCAGACAAAGGCTGGTGGTGTGTATTTGATGAACTCTTTACTCTGCTGTTAGGGTCAGGGTTAGTCCACGCTGCGCTGACCTACCGTCGGCTGTGGGGTGGATGATGAGGAACTTGTTGTCCATGAACTGAGATGCTCTGTGTTCTAGATTGGCCATCTGAGAAAGAAAGAAGAATGAGGATAAGAAACACTTAAAGCTGGAGTACCAACTTCTATGGCATCATCAATACATTTTGTCTGAATAGAAAGAGTATAGTTTAAGTAAGGGGCTGGTGCTATGCCACGGATGGATGGTTTAAGTAACCTTTAACGTGGTAAACAAAAACTGAGAAGCATTCAGGGTGTTTGTTTTAGAAGCAATATACTGACGTTTAGCTTCAATACAGACTGTTAAAATGCTGTCACTCCGTCCATCGCTCTGACATGGAAGCTAACAGCTAAGATGAGCAGCATGCTCTGGGTCTTAGTAGAATCTTGGTATTTCGTCTCTAACAGAGGGAAATATTCACTTTTTGGGGCTGATACTAAGAATTGTAATTAGAGATAAAGTAAGGATAAGGGTTGAGCCAGCCTCGTACGGGATGAAATACCAAGATCTTAGTGAGTTTCACAAATATTACATGATCATTTTTTGCATACTCAGACCTTCTTGTGTCATTTCAGTCACATACACCTGACTTCATGAAAACTTTCATCTTCTGTTATTGTACAAAGTTGATTTTATTTAAATGTAACTGATGCAAATCAACAGATGTGCTCAGTGCGGTAGTTACTTTTTGTTGTTTCAAAGTCAGGGCCCTCAGCTTTAAGCAGGGGTTGATTATGGAGGATTATGGTCAACAGCAAAAAAACATTGCAGATGACTGAACGGATTAGTGACAGAATTTGCTTCATAAGTGTATAACTATCAGTTATATGCATAAACAATGGAATAATAATATGAGTTTTGGTAAAGTACATTAAAGTGTGGTCTCTCACCGCGTAGGCTCTTGGGTCTGGTTTTGGAAGGCCCAGGTACCGCTCTGAAAATGCTGACGCTGAGGAGGACAAAACACAGACGTTTATGTTTTTTTCCCTGTTAATTATTTTCATAAACATTACATTTTGAAGTGGTAGAAACATGTCCCTAATTAACTTTAACAATTCATTCACGATAGGATCTTTTTACTTTTGAATGTTCTGTAATTTTGCGTTTTTTATCTGTAATTGTTAATACAGAACACTGATCCAGGGCAGATCAGGGAGGATTCACAGTCACGAGGAAACCTACTGGAGGAATGCTCTTTTTTTGTTGTGCGTAAATGATAATAAACCACCAAGAATTTCACTCTGAACCAGAGCAGGGAAAAAATGGTCCAAACAGAGCGGACAAAGGAAGTAGCTCATCACCTGCAGCTACAGCACCTCCAGCGCTGTTGCATTTTGTGACTATTGCTAATAACATTATATATTTATCTGTTTGTATGGATTTAATTTCTCCTGCGGGGATCATTAATTAATTAAACACTAGCCATCTATTTTACATGTGTTCTGGTTTTATTATGCCATGTAATATTTTAGCATGGCGCCGTAAAGATGGCGCCGTGGCAAGAGCTCTGGTGTGTGTCGTCTGGTGCACACTGGGGTAGTCTTGCACAGTTTTTCCAATGTGGTTTTACTGCAAATGGCAAATAAATGAATCTGAATCTGAATCTGAATCTATTTGGAATACTGGAGTCATTGTCAACTGCAGGGAATTCCATGAACCTTCAGATGAGAAAAAACTCCACTGTTCCATCTTAGAAATCAAACCCATACCATCTCCATCTTATCAGATTACTTCTAGCTCTGCGTTTGGAGCTGGAATGTTTGCTAACAGCGTCTCTCTCTGTCTCTTTGTGCTATAAGTTATGAGTAAACAAACTTAGCATTCAGCGCTGGTGCAAAAACCTCTTACCGTATAATTCAAAGTCGGTAATGGGGGAGAGAACTGCTCCACACTTTACAGGCAGGCCCTCTCCGGCGCTCAGCAGCAGACTGGTGATGTAGCCTCCGTACTCCTATAACCACCACAAATATGTTTAGGTTTTAAGGCAGAAAGAGAAGGATATGGCTGCATTTGTATGGTAATGTGATTCCGTCTGCAAACAACGCTGCGTAGGGTTTGGAATAGGTAAGTAGGGGATGCTTACCTTGCCATAAGCTCCAACCCTGGTCTTGTCAATGTAGGGTTCTCTCAACATCAAGCTATGGAAGTGAAAAAAGTAAAGAAATTAGAATTCAATGGACGCTCATCAGATACTCATGACAAACCGGTGGAAACCTTGCTGCATTGGTTGGTAAGTTGGTAGTTTAGTGCACACACATTTGAAAACTGTCAAGCCAGAAGAGTTAGCAAATATCTAATAAATTGTAAATATCGAAAAATAAATGTAAAATAAATAAATAATAATAAAAGCTCTATTCATTTTAATCATTATCAAACATTTGTAATTTCTTCTTCTGTGTAAATATATTTAGTTACTTAGTGTTGTTTTTATGTTTCATTTAATTCATGTTTAAGCAATAGCAAACAACACACGTTTGATACCAGCCTTTAAAATCATTTAGTGTTCATTTCTATTTGGTTTTACTTTAATTTAAAGATGGGGTACCTAACTTTCAACACACAAAAATTTAATTTAATCAAATCCATCTGATTAGTTCCTTGCTCTTAAAACAGTTTGCTTCCACACTAGTTTCAACATCAGTATTTTTGTCACATCCTTAGATCAGGTTTTTTAGACCAAAAACGATCAAAAGAGAGAGGACCAGTGTGACTCGGGCAATCTTAACTCTAAGTGTTAAATAGTGACTGAATAGTGACTAAATATTCCTGATAAGATGCAGGAAGCACGTTGTGATCTGCTTGTTTGATTGTATTTTTACAGGACCTGTTCTCTGGGATATGAAGTATTATTTATAATGTTAAAAATTAGGTTCCCCAGCTTTAAATCAACTAAATCTATAGTTTTCATAACACAATTCCTACTGTATGTTCTACTGCTATTGTAATAAAAGTGTACAGATGTATACTTGGTCACATGGCTTGTATTTCACAGTAAATTCACTGTGGTGTTCAGAAATAGGTGCTCCAGCTTTAATGTAGATTTGACTTTGCTGAGTGGGACATACTCGACGGCGTCCCTCTGGTCCTGCTCCTCGTAGATGCCCAGTCTCTTTTGGATGCGGTGGAGCAGGTTTGTTCCCTGGAAGCCGCTGCCTCGTCCGTCCACTCGCAGAACCACCGCTCCAAAGCTGCTGACCAGAACTGTGGACCAGTCCAGACGGAACTGCTCTGACACCGACTGGCCACCAGGGGTCCCATCGCTGCAGCAATAGTCACAATACCAAACAAAACACAAAAATCCATCAATCATCATTCATGGAGCCCTGTACTACACAGAAAATGTCTTTACAGAATATTTTAGGCTTTAAAAAGAAATAAATAAGTACTTAAAAAAAGAAAAGTGTTGTTTGATTAGCTCTGGACTCTTCTATAACTTTAGAGTTGTATATATTTTAACTTTCATCAAATCAAAGAAAGTTCCTTGTTTTAATTTGTATCGTGTCACTCACACGAGCAGAAGAAGTGGATAGTGCGACGTTTCCATGAAGCCTGCGGGTTTCACGATCTGCATCGACAAAACTGAAACACAACATCAGTCTATATTACACACATGCAATAAAGACGACACAACACAAGCTTTTACACCGTACACTACAACAAATGAAATGACTTTAAAGTTCAATTTCAAAACCAGATTAGTAAATAAAAGATGCAAAATCTTTACCAAGCAGTATTTTCAAAAGCCTTATTTTACTGCACTTAAAAGAAACTTCCCCTTTTTGTGCAAATCCAAAAACAAAACATGATGAAGATCGTAACGAGAGGAATACATTTCTCACAACTTTCCCAATGTAAGTATTTACAGAAACATTTCAGTTGTTTTGACTGTATTTATAATATTGCTGACTATTGACAGTCTGACACAATATCTTTAATATTGGGCCTAGTATTTACAGCAATATTTATGTGACTTTCATGAACTACATCAAACTCTAGGGTGAATCCCAGTGATTTTTAGCATGATTTTGTGGTTGTGTCTATCACGGCATGTTGATAAAAGAGTGTTTTGGCTCTCACTGTAGTCGTCCATGTTGACGTCCCTGTATTCCACTATGGGCACCTGCATAGAGTCCAGGGTCCTCCTCAGGTTGTGGTTGTTTTCTAGACTGTGAACTTCAACAATACCTGCACACAAACATGGGACTCATTACATTCTCCAAAACATACATCATCATTGTAAATATCCTCAGGAGGATGGCTGCTGTGTCGGTGCCCACACAGCCTTGATCTTTCAGCAGGGGGTTCAGGCAGACAGCAGACATCAGTGAGAGTTGATGGAGAAGGTCTTGTGGAGGGCTTGAACCCACGACCTTTGGGCTCCAGGGCAATGTACAGTGCAGTATTCTAGGATCGGAACTTTTGCAGGTAGTGATTTTCAAGCTGCTGTAGATAAAACCCCAACACTCCTTACAAATAACAAACGTTAAATTTTCCTGCTCTGTGCACCACACACACACACACACACACACACACACACACACACACACACACACACACACACACACACACACACACACACACACACACACACACACACACACACACACACACACACACACACACACACACACACACACACACACCTTATATTTTACATTTGGACACAGGCACACATTTCTTCACACAAGCTGCAGTAAAAAAAAAGCAGCAGTGAAACAAAAGCATGGATGGATTGTGCTGAGCTTTTATGCACAATACTCTCCATTGTTGTTTCCAGTAAAATAAATATGGTTTTGTGTAGAATGAGACAGGGCTCCGGATTATACAGGGCTGAACTTCAGGTTGTAAAGCACTAAACAGTGATAAATATGTTTTCTTTGTAATGCAATGTGTGCTAAAAGACTCACTCTCTCCCTCTTGTGCGTCTTCATCCATCTGTGCCCTGAATATGGACACGAAGGGGATCTCTGGACCTGAAGCACATAAGCAGGATGTCATGGCTCTAATTTCTCTATATGGTAAGAGCAATTTTGCACAAGCCTCACTAAGCATTATGGAAGGTTAGAGAAAACTACTGAAAAAAAAAAAAACATTGTTTGTCGCACAGTGGGGACATTATTGTGTTGCAGAACAGTAGGAATGAGGGGCACAGAGCACAAGATAGATGAATATTAAAGATGCATCAATGATTTTTTCCAGACACATTTTTTTTTATATTGTGGGAAAACGCCCCTAAAACATAACAGTAGCCAATTTATCATGTGCTTTCATATAGTAATGGAATTGACCAGATTCCTATAGTCTCCAAAAATGTATACAACATATTTTTGAGCGGACCCGTAAAAATAAACCAATGGGATTCAGGGCTGAACAGAAAATGCCAATTTCAACTTTGCCACCCACTCTCCCTGTTGTGACAAAGAAAAGAAAATCCTGGATGTTTGGTTTGGTGGATAAGCGAGGGGAGGGGAGGGGGGAGTGGTTTCGAGTTGGTGCTACGGCTAATAACTGCATTTCATACTTTAAAAATGAAACAGAATTTTATCTACAAAGAAGCAAAGTATAAAATACAGTTTATAAATGTAATACTTGTATTTGTACATAATTCTGTAACACACTCTAGTGCAAGAATTTTAAAGTAGAAGGTCAGTAGCTCTGCCTGCGTTTAATTTGATGGAGAGGCAAACTTTTCAGCATAAATCAATTACAGCCTTCATTGAAATAAGGTTAAATAAACATTAGGAACATGATGATCAGTCAAAACAGCTTCTTTAACCCTCTTCAGGGGAAAGTTTGAGTTACACATTTTAATTGACAGATTGCATTTCAGTGGAATTTGAGAGTCGCCATCGATTGCAGCAGTAGTAGTTGTCGTAGCAGTTGTAGGAGTTGAAGAAGGAGCAGTGTCAGTGGTAGTAGCTGTAGCAGTAATGCAGTGATAGTAGTAGTAGAAGAAGCAATATCAATAGTAGTCACAATAACAGTAGCAGTAGAAGTAGAAGAAGAATTATTACTACCAGTAGTTGTAATAGCAAAAGAAGGAGTTATAGTAGCAGTAGCAGCAGAAGTAGCAGTAGTAGCAGCAGCCGTACCTTTGCAGTCAAGGAGGAAGTAAGTCATGTTGAGGCTGAAGGAACCGCTCACATATCCACAGGCGTCGGGCAGCGAACACGTCAGACAGCGACGGTTGAAAGAGCCGGAGGTGTCCGCACTTCAAGACAAATGTGTATAATTCATCATTTCTATTTGATCCTCAGGTGCAGTCATAGCAGAAAGTGTAGCTTTTAACTATACAACTTTTACCTGTATAGATGTCTTCTCTTTGGTCCATCCTCGGTGCTCAAGAAGTATCTGAGAAAATGACACACACCATACTTCAATTACTATGTATGTCCAGCAGATGGCACTACATCGAGTTTATGTTTGGTCTGCAATTCATAAAAAATGGGGGAAAAATGCAATGGGGGTAAAGTTAAATTCTTTATTCAGAAATTGGTAGATAACATATTTCATATTTAGATATTTAGATTTACAAATTCATGGCGTACAATTTAAGGCGTATTGTAAAGAAAGTATTTAGGAGGGAATACTTAAAGACAGAGAACTACACTACTCATGACATCACTGGTTTTGTCATACTAATTTGAAATGAGAATCTAGAGGTTTGTATGAGGCTAAACACATCTCCAGGGCTGTTTTTGACGTTAATAATAATCATAATAATTCATTTTATTTCATAGCGCCTTTCAAGACGTCCAAGGACGCCTTAGAATACATAAAAAACATCAGACACATAATTAAAAGTACAAAATAGAAAACATTATAAAATTACAAAGGATAAGCCAGTTTAAAAAGGTAGGTTTTGAGATGTGATTTGAAAATGTCCAAAGAGTCTAATTGTCGCGTGTCAAGCGGTAAAGTGTTCCAGAGTTTAGGGGCAGAGTGGCTGAATGCTCTGGCCCCCACAGTGGCATGTTGGATTTTTTTTTTTTCTTGACTTGGTGTAAGGCTCCACAAAAACAGTAAACGAGAGTACACTTGAAATCTACATCTTAAAAAGGTTTTCAGACCAACTATGAATAGCAGTGTAAGTGTGAGATGCCACTGCTGCGTCACACAAAGTGGTTTCAAAGTGCGCACATTAAGCTCCAGGTGTTAAGTGAAATTTAACACAGAGATATTTTAGTGCCACTTACGTAAAATAGAATGCACAAAGATCAATAAAAATGAGTAGAGAGGGCAAGGAAGGTCGAGGAAGAAGAGAGTTTTAATGAACAAGGGTGTAGCCACAGTCTCTTTTTATCGTTTTCTGCTTTTTTCTCTCCCACTGAGCTGTCCGTGGTGCTGAAGCCGCGTCAACAAAATTTGGCGAACCAAAAGGTGTTTTTATTCAATGTGGAAATATATTAAAATTTGGGGCTGTGCGGCACGACCGTTCTGGCCAAAACTGAAGCAAATGAAATTGGTTTGGTGAGATGGAAATGTGAATTATACAAATATGAGAAAATTGTGGAGAAGAGCCTGTGTGCGGGGAAAACGGTTTGATAAATGGATGGCCTTGACGCGTGTGGTTTGCCTGCATGTCTGTGTAGCATTACTAACACAAAAACAACACAAATATTGACAACTAAATACAATAATAAAACACACGTAGTAGTAGTAGTAGTAGTAGTAGTAGCAGTAGTAATAGTATATACTCAAAACCTTTTTGTTAATTCAGTTCAAGTACATATTTTTCTTTCTTTAAAGTATTAGTAATCATTTGCATATTCTTAATCCTGGATGCTAGTGCTGAAAATTGGCACGTTCTTCTGCACAGATGAATAAACCTAAATATATTTAAACAAAACATTCAGCATTACAATTCTATATCAATTCATTTCATTTCATTTTGGTATAGCCCAAAATCACAACAGTAGTTATCTCGGAGGACTTTATAGTGTTGTTAAATAATTGTCTTATATATATATGTCTTATGTACAGTAAAGTGTTGGGAACAAACTAGACCACATCATGCCATCTTTAGCTAGGCAGAAAACATGCCAATCTTTAAAAAACTTGTAAGAAGTTGAGCCCTGTGAGTCACAGTTTGACGTTTTGGGCTGAGTGAGGGTCAGGGTAGGTTCCCCGTCTGAAAAAGCTGATCTAAAGATTTGATGCACGCGGGAAATACATGTGAAAATGAGTGCTAGAACTGTAGTAGATTTAGAAACTCTCTAAATACTTTAAGAGTTTTGTCCACCAAATCCAGCAACAAACAAACACATTATTGTGGGGCCACGCTGGGATATAGTCTTGTTGTGGAGGGCCGGACATATTTTCACACAGTAACCATTTCTTTTAACTTGACATAACATATTTTCTGTGAAACAAATATGTATTTGATGAACAAAAATATTTAAAGATAAAAAGGAAACATGGAGCCATCATTGAGCTTCAGTTCATTTAAATTAGCAACAGACCACCTACGATCAAGCGGGTAGCATCAGGTTAAACAGCGGACAGTGTTTGGGGACCGCACGTGGGTCCCGGGCCACAGTTGGACCTGCTCTGCTCTGACTGCTGCTGTGCTTTGGCTCAGAGATGCTTCTCAGTGTGTTTGAGGGCGTGTGGCGCGGACTCACATGAGCTGGCTGTCTTCGTTAAAGGCCAGGACCTGCGTCACGTCCCAGTCTCCAGACGTGATGGACTGTAGTGTGTCAGTGCTGGTGTTCACCTGTGAGGCACCAGAGGGGTCAGACCATGGGTCAGACCACGGGGCGGCATGAGCATTCAATAAAGGGCAGCGGATAATAGAAAAAAATCAAAAGCAGTCATGATCAAGTAATTTTCCATTGTTGATTGTCAAAATGTAAAAATACAAATACAGTGTCTGAGAACAACTCAAATTGCTAGTTTTTCAATCTTTCTCTGACAAACAAAACGCCAACCACCAAGAAGGTCCTGGGGTCGATTCCACCTTCAGGCCTTCCTGTGTGGAATTTGCATGTTCACCACGTGTCTACTCTGGTTTTCTCCAGGTGCTCCGGTTTTCCCTACCACTTGTGCCTGATGCTTTGGCCTGATGTGACTGTGTCTTATCCTTAGAGAGAATGTTCATTTGGTAGTGAACACATTATTGTCTAAGTGTTGATAAAGTGTCGTTCAGTGTGTATCTCAGTGTGTGTCTTAGTGTGTGTCTCGATGTGTGTCTCAGTGTGTGTGTCTCAGTGTGTGTCTCCGTGTGTATCTCAGTGTGTGTGTGTCTCAGTGTGTGTGTCTCAGTGTGTGTCTCAGTTTGTGTGTCTCAGTGTGTGTCCCAGTGTGTGTCCCAGTGTGTGTTTCAGTGTGTGTCTCAGTGTGTGTCCCAGTTTGTGTTTCAGTGTGTGTCTCAGTGTGTGTCCCAGTGTGTGTCCCAGTGTGTGTCCCAGTGTGTGTCTCAGTGTGTGCTTCAGTGTGTGTCCCAGTGTGTGTCTCAGTGTGTGTCTCAGTGTGTGTCTCAGTGTGTGTCCCAGTGTGTGACTCAGTGAATTAACCTGTGAAGTGGACATAGAGATGTGGAAGAACTTTCCGCGTCCGCCCTGAGGAATGGCTCGTGTGAAGAACAGCTTCAGACCGTCTTTGGAAAACAGCGGGTTTTCATTCTGAACAAACACAAACGTACAGTAGTTCATACATCGCAGATCTTCAATCCGTTTAAAAAACTGTTGCAGAAATGTATTGTGTTTAATAAACATTGGAATCTTGAGTGAGATAAAGAAGATGTATCTGTACAACAGTGGGGAGACTGTAGGTACTGAAGCATACCCACTGTTGTACAAATCCTTCAATAAATAAGTAAAATATGGATATAAATAAAATCTTTTAAATCCATATATCTATAAATCTATACATCCATATATCCATAAATCTATACATCCATATATCCATAAATCTTTTATATCCATATATCTATACATCCTAGGGGAAATAGTAGTTCTATGGCCTCGCGTGAGCCTAACCCACACAATAGAGATGACTGTACTCAACAGTGTATTTTAATCCTATTATTTATGTTTATGTAAATGTAATGGTTTTTATGCTTTATGCCTAATGTAATATTGGGTTTTGAAGCACTTTGTGTTGCCTTGTGTAGGAAAAGCGCTTTACGAATAAAGCTTGATTGATTGATGTAAGGGAAACTTGTTTGTTTAAGTGCGTTTACCTGTGTTTGCAGCCATCCCTCACTTTCATCTTCATGTTTCTGCAGAACAAAATATAAATGAGACACACAAAAACATACTTTTCTCTTTTTCAAATTACTGATAAAAAAATCATAAGAATAAAAACTCTCAGATGCTTAGACTTGTCCAAAAAAAGACAAAGATGGGTTGCTTTTCATGTAGTGACCTCATGTGACCACATTTCACAAATGTAAATGTTGTTTGTATTTCTGATTGGTTTCTTTCTGTGTTTTTGTCCTCCTCCTAGCCTCTCCTAATACAAAATTATACAATATTAATTATTGGGGGTATAAAACAAACATTTAGACAAACTTTGGTTCAGAATCAGCTCAGATCTCATGCAAAATCACAATAGTATTATTTCATCACAAATGTTTTTTCAGGTGAGAACAACATTTTTTAATTAGTTTAATTTTAGCATTAACACAGGTCCATTAGTTTTATGACGGACTCATCACACACAAAGCCGGCTAAATCAAGTCTTCATTTGTTGATAACCAGCTCAAAGCTTATAAAAAACCATTGCAGAAATGTGGAATCTCTTGAAAATGGTCTGTAAGCCAAACTCTATATAATTCACTGGTTTCACATTTTGCAGTAGATTTTCCCATAGAGTTACAAAAGCCTCATCTGAAACCCTTGTACCTTAGTGCAGACCCCAGTGGTCGCCTCACACAGCGTCAGCACAGAAATATTTTGTGGGCGATTCATCCAGTTTATGGCCAGTTTAGTCGCTGTCGCCCATTTCACCATCGTCACGTAGTATTCTCTGTCGGAAACACAACATGGAGGACACATCAGCAGTCATCGCTAATAATCAGGGAACTAAATGTTTTGGTCGATGGAGTGAGGCGTGTTCATCTTCTCACTGAAAGGTCAGGTGAATATTTCAAAACACCCGCTTGAATTATATTGTCTTAAGCACTAATTCTTTTTTTAATGAACTCCTGTGAAATGCAGCCTTTATGAGTCCAAGCAGCGTAAACACATTAGCAAGGTGATGGCATTTAAAGCTGGCGTACTCAGATTTCACACCTCCATGTTTTACTCTGTCATAAAACTAACTCATATCAAAATGCTCTTGTTCTATCACTAGTTTTTGCATGCATGTATTTCTGGCCTCCGTCACATATTTAGATCGGCTTTTTCAGACAGAGAAGTGTAAAAGAGAAGAGCATCCTCACTCAGCCAATCAGCTCGGGACTCTGAGGGCTCTTTGTCACTGGAACACCAAATATATCATGTTTTGATTTGTTCTGGTGGTATAATTGGATATTATCTTATTTCGAAATGAAATATAGGACCCCAGCTTTGAATGCATGTATGCTGACAGGTTTTATGATCTGGTGGAAGAATGTCTCCTGTAACTATCGCTAATCTAGAAGCAGTTTGTGAATAGCCTGGTCGTACCACACCATAGTACAAATTACATTTCGTACGAAGGTCTGGAGGTGCTCCATTGAGCTCCGTTTTGCCGCAAACTGAGCCTGTGGGGAACTGGAACTGGAACAATCAAAAATTCTGACATATAACTTATTTTTATTAGAACTAGTAGAGCCACACACAAAGCCAGACTTTAAAGCAAATGACGACGTAGACAGACTCACCCTATTCTGGTATCGTCCGGGCGCCTCATTTCGATGGTGTGAAGCGGACCGTTCAGATTCACCACAGAAATAGTGATGAGGGGATTTTCTTCTCCAGCCTGAGAAAATACAAAAGTGGCAAATAGTGAGTGATTTATAAGTGAGCTCCTACAGGAACAATGCTTTTCCAGTACTTTTCCCATACGCTGCTACACTGGCACAGGTATACAGTATATTTAGAATGGGCTGGAATAAGAACTTTAAGATTACACTGTAGAGTTTACCCACATTATAAAACAGCTGCAGTACATTCAAAATGCTGCAGCTCGAGTCCTGACTAGAACCAGGAAGTAGGATCACATTAGTCCAGTTCTCAGGTCTCTGCACTGGCTTCCTGTGGCTCAGAGAATAGACTTTAAAACAGCTCTGCTTGTGTACAAATCTCTCCATGGCCTCGCACCAAAATATATTAGTGACATGTTAGTCCCATATGAACCAGCCCGGACTCTGAGGAGCACAGGGACTGGACTCCTGTTAGTGCCCAGAGTCAGAACTAAACATGGGGAGGCTGCTTTTCAGATTCATGCTGCTAAAATCTGGAACAATCTCTTTCCAGGCCTCTTATCTGACAATGTTTAAATCCAGGTAAAGAACTGAGGGATGTTTTATCTTTCTTTTTAATGTACTGTGATTATTTATGATTTTAATGATTCTATCTTGTTTTGTTCAGCACTTTGAGTTGCCTTGTGTATGAATTTAGTTATTCACATAAACTTGCCTTGCCTATGTGGATCAGAAATGTGTGTCTGTGAGGACATGTGTTTTATGAATGAATGAATGACATTTATTATGGGCACTTTTACACATTGTTACAGGACAGTAAATTACAGCAGAAAGAAAAGACTGAAAAGGAGTCAGCTGAAGCTATTACTTTTTTTGCATACACTATTTACAAGTGAGCGTATACAATTGCATTTAGATAAGCGACTATATCATAATTCTGAGTTCAGGCAGCCATCCAGCATGATAGTTTTAAACATCCCTTTAAAGTGGTAAAGTGAATTGCATCCATTCCAGAGATCAACCCCCCTCACAGATAAACAACATTTCATAACATTAGTTCCATATTTTTGCTTTTCGAACACGTGTGTACCCCTTAACTCATAATGGTTGTCTCTGATTCTGTTTCTGTAGAGGTTATGACAGGAGGTCATTTTTTAAATATTTTAAACATTCATATCAAACTGTAATGATCGACTAAATCATTGAAATTTAATATTTAATATTTTAACATCAATTGTTAGAAGCAGGACTCGCTCAAGAGCATTTCACAAAAATGTGAACCATAGACTGTGGACATATAGACTATAAACATAGACTTTACTGTAGACTATAGACATAGACCATAGACCATAGACAAAGACCCCACCACCGTGTACCACACCTGTCCAAACAAAGTAGGTTAACTTTGTTTCCTTCTGGTCTCTCTCCTCTCTCTGTGGTCTCTTTCTGGTCTTTCCCTGGTCTCTCTCTGGTCTCTCTCTGATCTCTCTTTGGTTTCTCCCTCTTTGGTCTCTCCCTGGTCTCTCCCTGGTCTCTCTCTGGTCTCTCTCTGGTCTCTCTCTGGTCTTTCTAGTCTCTCTCTGGTCTCTCTCTGGTCTCTCTCTGGTCTCTCTCTGGTCTCTCTCTGGTCTCTCTCTGGTCTCTCTCTGGTCTCTCTCTGGTCTCTCTCTGGTCTCTCTCTGGTCTCTCCCTGGTCTCTCCCTGGTCTCTCCCTGGTCTCTCCCTGGTCTCTCCCTGGTCTCTCCCTGGTCTCTCTCTGGTCTCTCTCTGGTCTCTCTCTGGTCTCTCTCAATACCAAACTTTAAATCATCACTCAAAACCAATCTGTTCAAGCAAGCTTATCTGTAATCCCCGTTTCCGTAGTAAATATGTGAAACATCTTGAGTGTCCAAAAAAACCGCAATACAAGTTTGATGCATTCATTTTGTTATTATTATTAGCCGATCAATGTTGGTGGTTCCTGATTTGAGCTAAAGTGGCCCTGTTACTGAAATGTTTTGACATCCCTGGTCACGTTACTGACAACATAATAAGATCATTTCGTCTTTGAATACTCACAAATACACATCCTCATAATCTTGGCAGACTTATATTTTGGAAACCACATGCATATGTACCTTAGGATAGTGGTATTCCTTCCCCATAGGGTACGGCGTCCCAGTGAACATGGGCAGCTCCATCTTGGGCACCAGACTGTCGTTGATGGTTGCATAGGCCAGTCTAGCGCCATCTGGAGACCACCAGTGAGCGATGTGGGAGTGGAAAATCTCCTCTGCAAAAGAAAGTGAATGAGGTATAGAAGGCTTATTGTCATTTTCTCCCTGAACATGTGGGTGCCTCTGCTCAGACTACTGCCCCCGCAACCCGGAAAAGGATAAAGCAAAAGAAAATAGACAGATTAATAGATGGATACTTTATTCATTCCCCATAGAAGAAATACAGGTGTCCAGTAGTAGAAGAAACACATGCATTAATTCAATCAAAACAAAAAAATAGATAATTCTCAAAATAGCAAACAATGGTATCAAATGGTTCGGACCATTTTCTCTGCTCTAGTACAAAGTGAGATGCTAAAAGCTTTGTTAGCATTTTTCAAAAAGTTAGCATTCCTGCAGTGGATTTTTGCCTGATCCGCTTGTTTGGACCATGAATCCTCTCCACTCCGATCTGGACCAGTGCAAAACCATGACCACTCTACTGCTGCAACATCTCAGTAAAATAACAACAGTTTCAGAGCTACATAGGATTTGCTGCCGTTTCCAGTGCATACAAAAGTAAAAAGATGAATGGGTGGAGAATAGAATTTTCTAAGAATATCAAGCAGTTGTAGAAAAAGACTATATTTTGAATCTGAGACAGTGACACATTCATAAAACAGGAAAACCTTTGAACTATTGCATACTTGTATAAAAGAGCCATGGGAATCAGTATTTGACACTTTGGCCGTCCAAGAATGGTTAACTCACTATGAACCCCAGCTTTAATGAAATCTCTGCTGTTGTCTGGGCTGTTACATTACATCAAAGCAAATGTCATCACAACAAAGTGTCGACAAAGCAGCAGAATACAGGAGTAAGTATTTGGGAAAGTGGCGAAAATGGCAATCATATAGATTTAAATTGCTTAATAATATTTCTCTTTTCCCCTGAACAACCTGTTGGACAAATTCGACATTGGGGTGGGGGAAAAAAAAACAATATATTCTGGTAAAATCATGATGGATCTAATGAAATGATCCAAGCGATTAATATTTATAATTATTTCAGCGCATTAAACTTCCATGGGTATTTGGGTTCGACCTTCGGTGTCGTTAAATCATCCTAATTGTTTCATGAATAATTCCCGTGACCTTAACTAATGCGCTGCAGATGGACAAGTCAATGAAAGGAGACGGAGCTTTATGACACTGTGAAATGACTTTATAATGGCGCCGTGAATAATGCCAGTGACCTCAGCCATTATGGACCAATAAATTACAATTATTGATAATGTTGAGTTGAAGCAGAGATCATCGACAGCGGGATGAGTTGTTGGTGTATGTCACATTGACGGTGGATACAGACGGTGGATCCTGGGTTTGAATCCCCGTCCTAACAGGGCCTATCTGAGGGAAGTTTACATGTTCTCCCTGTGCTTCCGGGTGAAGTATGTAAAATAGGTATGAATGTAATGAGTTGGGGGCTTTGATGCGCCAGTATGTTCGCCGTCTCGCTTCCGTCATCACCGAGTGTGAATGGAAAATTATCTGATTTCTGAACATTGTAAAGCGCTTTGGGTGACCTTGGTCTGTAAAATGCGTTATATGAATAAACCTTACTTACTTACATGCGGGATAAAAGAGAAAAATGTTCTCGTTGTGACTTTTTGGAGTATTAAGACATTGGACTACACTAGATTTCACAGTCTTGATAGCCTGATAGCCTAAACCCGATATTAGAATGGCTGAATCAATGTGAATCTTAAAGCTGGGGTAACTACATTTTTGTTTCATGAAAATAAAGAGTTGTGTTAAAGTACAATGTTGGGAACAAATCCGACCACAACATGGTGTCTTCATCTCATTAGAAAACATTTTGTCTTTTGCATTATCATGGGTAAGAAAGAGCCCTGAGAGTCACTATTTGAAGCTTGGGGCTGAGAGATGATGGCAGATCCTCTCTTGTTGATCTAAACACATTCTTGTGAAAGCTGATAGAACCTAGACCTTTAGATGGAAAAATATCTATCAAAAAATAAGAGACCGCACAAACTATATTATTGGAACAGTCAAATGTCCGTCCATAACTGGAGAAAAGACCAAGTGCCTCTGATGAATCCAATTGTTATTTGGTTGAAGTTATAGACATTTTATTACTCCATTCACAAAAGAACACAGAATATATCAGTGTAAAAGTAAGTGTGCCTGGCTTTAGTGCCGCATCAGCAGAACAGCGCCCCAGCTCCGATCTGACCCGCTTCTATATTTGGGCATCACTTCCTTCTGCGTCTATGTTTACTCCCCTCATCGTTCCCTATAGCCTGGATTTCAAAAAACATACGTCAAAAAGAAGCAAGGAGCATAAATCAGAAGGGAAGCAGCTCTAAATATGACAATATATGAAAAATGTTAACTAGTCTCCGATCCAACACTCAGGCCTTTTGTTACAAACTGCCAAAGGGTCTATTTATATCAACTTCAGCAATTAAAATGTGATTATTGTTGTTTATCTTTAGGACTAGAAGATAGCTCTGGGGAATTATCAAAGCAATTAGCATTTTCATTAGCCGCGACTGCTGCGAGGGACTTGATACACACAATATTTGATAAACAAAAGCAAAGCAAAGTGGGTGTGCATCCGTGGTCTGATACGGCCATGGAAATGTTGTTTATTCTCAAAGGAGTGAAGTGAATTTGAAAGAAAGTGGTTCAAGTGGATCAGGGTTTTAACATTTTTCATCTGTTTTGCTAATGAGCTCAGTCAATGTTGTATAGATTTAGAAATTGATGCCAAAACTTGTTACAACTGCACAAATATTGCAGACTCTGACATCAGGCCTTTATTTTAGAGTAATTATCAAATAAATGATTTCAGATGGCAGTAGCTCAGTGGTAGTGTGTGTGTCTTTTGAGTTGAAGGTTGGCAGTTTGAATCCTGCTCCCTGAAACCTGCAGCTCCCATTGATGCATGCTGTCCTTGAGCAATACACTTAACACTCGCCCCCAGTGGCAGCGTTCTCTGGTGAAGGAATGTGTGTGTGTTTGGCTCCTTAAAGCGCATAGAGTATCTTGAAAAGGTAGAGACGTGCCACATAAATTGGAGCATTTACCATTTAGAGAAAGTGTCAACCATAAATCACTCTTGGTGATATAGTGGGTAAGTAATCTTTAGTCATACGGCACTTTTCACAGACAGATCACAAAGTGCTTTAAAATTGTTGTGGGCATTTGTCTTTCACTCCACACAGAGATGAAGCCTGTGAGCAGCATGCCGGGTGTATTGCACATGTTTTTATTATAGGGTCAAATTGGAGCACCTGGAGGAAACCAATAAGCAGAGACTCCAATAAGAAAGGTCCTGTCTGGAGGTGGAATCAAATTGGAATTGTTTTTTGTGTGCTTCCCTAATCTTTATGCACAATTAGAACAAATGTCTGCATTACAAGTTATCAGATCAATTTTTCAGAAATTTCATATGAAACAGACACTGAGTGGAGTCCTGATGCTTACAACAGATAGAGAATGACTAAAATCAATCACATGAATACAACAAGACATATGTGAGACATGTAGGTTGTAAGTTTGCAGTATATTGGATTCTGCCTAAAGGTTAAATTGATTAGCACTGACATTATATTAATACATTACATTAATACATTACATTATTCAGGACCTATGCCCTGCTACTTTACATCTCAATGTTGTATTATTTGTGGCATCTAGCCTCTCTGATAAAAAAGGGTGGATTTCTTTATTTTGCACTAGTTTAGGCATCATTAAATCACCAACAACTTAAGATAAAAACCTTAACATAAGGAATAATCTTCATACAACGCATAATAATAATGTTCGAACAGTAGTTTGGGACCAGGCTGCAGATTTAACAGTGAAGCTGATCTGGCCAGTCGCCTTGACACAAAATGTCTCAAACTTTCCCCAGACACAATTGAGCAAGCTGACTCTAAAAGACATAAAATGAAAAAGTATAATCTGTATTTTTGACAAACCTCTCTCCTCTCTGGCTGTTTTAACGATGCTATCTCAAGCCAATGTGAGTATATTATTCCCCGTCATTACTAATGCATCAGGCTCCCGGAGCTCACTGGACACTGCGGTATAATGAGGGAGAACAGTAGCTAGTGCAAACCAGGCAGTGACAAATGCAGCGCCACATCTATTCAACATATTATCAAAGAGATTATAATTAGCTGCTCTGTGTCACCTATAGATGGCAGTAAAGTCACGTGAAGAAGTCAGAGTAAGGTGACTGCTGTGTCTTTATCGTATGCAGCACACACTGTCTGCAAAGGTTTGTTGTTGGTGCTCGAACTATTATAAACATGACAGTCGATGCTTGTTTAGAAGAGCGTAAAAATATAGAGCTGAATCCTCAAAACAAGATAACTCAAACTCACAAGACACTGAGTCCAACATAAACAAAACGACCATTTGTTTTTGGAGAGAAACAGACCCCGCATGAAAAGTTATAAATTACATCATTAAAACTAGAGTTGTGTTTTTCAAGTGGCTCCGTGGGTCATTACTGTATATATGAAATACCCAACTTTTACATACATACATTTTCTTTAACACTTCAACTGCAGTTTATCGCTTCAAGTATGTGCTCGTTTCTCAATGTTTTCTTCTTTTTTTGTGTCCTTGATTTTTGCGTGTATAAATCAATGTGTTGTATTGATGTTGTTGAGGGTGGTCCTCTCTTTTTCACTTTTCCATTTGAAAAGAAGCTGATCCAAAATCCCACACATACATGCAATACAGTACATAAAAGCGAGTAACAGCAAAGTACATGTGTAGAATATGCATGAATGTATGAACATATATATGAACACATGCGTAGAATACAAATGACCCAAACTCTATAATATCATATAGACAATATATAGGATGGTACAAAGTTATGTCTCCTTTAAAACAACCTTTAATCCCACAGTTCCCCTGAAAACCTGTTCTCCTTTGCTCACGCTGCCATCTTCACTTTTTCATATTAACCTTCAGTTTTTATGCCAAACGCATGTCTGCTCAAACACTCCCCACGGCTTTCACTCGTAAACAGC